CCATCTTTTTTTTTTACATTTTAATTTCAATTTTAAAGAAACTATTCAAGATATTCTCATCAAACTTCATACACTAATACAAATTTTCATGTTGCATTACTAATATACCCTTGGCGGGGCATTCATGTCCTATGGACATATTTCTAGTTTATTACTTGTATAATTGTAAGATTTAAATGATGTATGCTTTTTTTCCATGTTTTGTTATTTCTCCTTATTCTGCTGCAGGTGATGGTGATGACGATAATCCAGAGGAGGAGGAAAAGAAGTTGTCCCTCAGCAAGGGAGACAAGAGTCATCTGATTGTGTGGGAGGTGGCCCAAACCAAGTAACCACCAAAAGGAACCACACAGGATAGAGGAAGTGGTCAAATAAAGTAGCCACCGTAGGCAACTGTGGACAAGATAGCAGACACTTGTCAATATATTATATATGCACTCTGTAAGCATACATTACCACTCAGTGTATCAAGCTTTAGCTCATGTGCTTGAACTAAAGGGGGGATGATTCTCTCCCAAAGATGACCTTTATGTACATGTATCATCAAAAATATGATATTTATGGTGATCTTCCTGATAAGGTCATATGAAACTGTGTATGAATGTGCATCAAAAGCAATGATCTCTGTTGTACTCCATGGTTTTGTTTCACATAATGGCATTGTTTTATGAAAAAGAGAAATGTAATTTTGTTCTTGAATTATTTATCCATCTAACAGGGAGAGGACTTGGAGGAAGGACATGTTAGTAATTTAGTATATATGGCATTTCTGTTTATTTCATATTTAGTTCAAGCCTTATCTCTATTATGTGCAATATCTAACTTGTTGATATTTCAAATTTTATTTATAGCCAGTTTTTAGTGTTACATGTTTATTTATTATTTGATCCCACAGAAAATATAGCCAGAGAAAAATTAAAAACTTTCAAAATGGGAAGATGTGTGTAAGCCTTCGTTTTATGCATCTTCACTGTTTTTAGAACCTCTGACACATTTAGTTGATTGCGCTTGGTGCATTGTTTTCCAAGAAAATCATTTTTTATTTGTCATTCAGTACACATTTTATACAGTGAAAAAACAGCTACTATGTTTTTATTAAACCAAGGAAGTGTTTAAAGTTTACTGGATGCAGATGTCATGTTTTGAATGATTTACAGTATCTAATATGTAGGTTTTATCCCCTTCTCATGATTTTTCAGTTACTATTACTTGTAAGGTATTTTATTCATTTAATCCAAGATCCTCTTCTTATCAATGTATTAGCTACAAGTAGAAAATGACAACAACATGTAAAAATGTTTGGTGGAAAATTAAACTATGTAAGCAATAATTTTTTGGTTTGTTTCGGGATTTAAGGTCAGTTAACTCTAACGTAGAAGTCTGTATTATTCGTACATGTGTATGTCTCATTATTGTGGGCAGTTTTTTTTTTTAATTCAGACTTTAAAAACTGATAAAACCAACCTTTGGTATAACCATGTTGCTCTTATTGTTCAAGTTTAAGTTTCTTTTAGAAATATTATGTTAAGCATACACTATGTACATTGAGCTACAGTAAATAATATGTAATTCTCCTGTAAAGAAGCTGTATTATTAATGAGGAGGACTATTATTGTGTGTATGTTGTCCATGCATGTTAAAGATACTGAGCTTGATTTATGATAATCATGAATAAAGCTGCAATTTCATTCTAGTGTTTTATATCAAAAGAAAGATCTCAAGGTTTGTTATTTATGCCAGTGGTAAAGCACTGATCAACACTTCAGAACTGCATGAATAATCAACTCAACAGAGTTTCTTTAGTTTAATATGCACCTGTAATATTGTGTTATTCCCAGCAAAAAAATGTTTAAAAGTAACAAAGTAATTTTAGCCTGCATATTTCTGTAATGGTACTGGGGTTCATGATTCCATTATGGTTGAATCATAATGTGCAGCATATTTATTTTCCATCCTTTTACATTTAAGAACTGTGCTGTTTCCCAGGCATTAACAAGGTTATAGTTTAAGTTTACAGGGCTATAGTTGAACTTTACAAGATTATGGTTGAAGTAAACATGACTGTAGTTGAAGTTCATATGGCTAAGTCAGCTTTCCATATGGAGAAAAGCAACTATGGCAATTTTTTTTTCCATCATGGGTAAGCAGAATGGGGCTTAATTTTCAGAAAAAATGAAATTTCTATGGATGTATGAGATTTATGTTCCACAGATGAAGATGAGCAACATTAAATTGTATCAGTATGAAATTAATTCATATATGGTTTACAGCAAAGGAAAACATGTTTATTAAAAAATTCTCGAGTTGTAATCCAATTATTATTTCTCAATGATCTTGTCCTTGGAGAGACAAACCCATATTTAGACATTTCATGCAAAAACTTAAATTCAAATCAAGGATTGAAAGTTAAGTAATAAAGACACAAATTCAAGATCTTATTGTTGACCATAACATTTGAAAGTAAGGCCAGAAATTGCATACTAAGTTTAGAGTCATTCCAGTCAAGATTTGCAAGCTTAGAGCCCAAATGCAATTTCAATATCTTGTTGCTCAGAGACATGGTAAGGTCAAAAGCAACAGCAAAGTGACATTTGAATCATTCTATATAAGAGTCTTGGTATAGGACACAGTTTCAACACTTCAATACTGTAAACATGACCTTAAAGAAGTATTGAGTCTCATTCATGACACACCTCTCTATAGAAGTCAACAAGATTTCACTCCAGTCAAGGATTCAAACATTATGGTCCAGATATGATATTTAACAACTGGCAAAAGCAATGTATCAGTCCCAGTAGTTCAGAACTAAAGATAACAAATAAAAAGCCCACAAAGATATGATGTTTGCATGGTTTGAAATTCACTATAGTCATTTTTGTATAAACACCCCCTCCCTCAAAAAAAAAAGAGAAAAGGGTAGGATTTAAAACCTTTTGACAAAAATTCTCAAATTGTTTAAAGATGTGTTACAATTGTCATTAAAATTCCTCTACTGGTATTTTTGCATAGTAAATACACATGTTTAAATACATTTACAAACATGTGTTTCACAGGCTCAGATTCAGATGGGGGTGCCTCCCCCCTCCCCAAATAAAACCCGAAACAACAAGATGTGTTTGTGAAACACTGTTGCCCCCATATGGCAGCTTATAGCCAAGGTTAAGGTTTCTCAAATGCAAGTCAAACTCCAAGGTGAAGGTAAAGAGATTGAAAATATTGGTATTCAAAGAAAGGTCTTGTCACTGTTCAAAAGTCCTGGTTAAGGTAAAAGTTTTTCAAAAGTAGGTCTAACTCCAAGGTCAGGGTCAAAATAAATGGTGCCTAGGGAAAGGTATTGTCACAAGGAATACACCTGTGAAATATAAAGGGCCTAGAACCAACCATTCAAAAGTTATGGCCAAGGTTAAAGTTTTTCAAATGTATTCAAACCCCAAGGTCAAAAGGTAAAAAATATTTGTACCCAAGGAAAGGTCTGTTCACAAGAAATACACATGTGAAGTATGAATGCCCTAGCATCAACTGCTCAAAAGTTCTGGTTAAGATAAAAGTTTTTCAAAAGTAGGTCAAACTCCAAGGTCAAAGGGTCAAAATAAATGGTGCCTAGGGAAAGGTATTGTCACAAGGAATACACCTGTGAAATATAAAGGGCCTAGAACCAATCATTCAAAAGTTATGGCCAAGGTTAAAGTTTTTCAAATGTATGTCAAACCCCAAGGTCAAATTTTAAGGTAAAAAATATTTGTACCCAAGGAAAGGTCTGTTCACAAGAAATACACATGTGAAGTATGAAAGCCCTAGCACCAACTGTTCAAAAGTTATGGCCAAGGTTAAAACGTGGTAAAATTTTTCAAAATGGGTGAAACTAAAAGGTCAAGAGATCAAATATGTTGGTACCCAAAGAAAGCCATAACTGCAACAGATCAAAAGTTACGGGCAAGGTTAAAGATTTTACAGATTTTTAGACAGGCAGATGGACAGAGCAAAAACTATATGCCGCCCGAATCTTCAATTACGGAGGTTTAAAAACAAGGTTTTTTCAGATATAGATTTCACTGTCATACGACAAAGAAATAAAGGTAAATATATCTGTAAAATAAGGGTCACTTATTGCTTAGTCTAAAGAGCTTACTGCCCCCCTCCCTCCCCCCCCCCCCGCCCACCAGCTTCAACGGATACTGCCTTTGACCCAGTGGGGACATAAGTTGTTACCCAGACTCGTTGCCATCTCTAGCGACCCCTCCAACACAAAATTTTGGATCCACGCCTGTATTAATTTAAGCAGATAAATTTGTTAACCTTGTAATTTCTTCTGGATATGTCTACTATATAAGGTTATTTTTGTTTAATTTGCATTAGAGTGCTTAAAAAAAATTAAACAACAACACTTTGCCAAAAAATCAAATTTCAGAAATGATAACAGGGACCTATATACAAATATATATAGGTCCCTGATGATAATTAATGTTTTTATTTGTATGTCCAATTTCACAATATAGTCTATGTTCGCAAAAATAACATCATTGATTTTTGTGTCTGATTTTACAATATAGTCCTTGTTTACAAAAATCATTGCCTCGGGTATGTATGGCATGTAATATCTAATAATAACACAATTTACATTGTCCAGTCCCCCCCTTCTCTCTCTCTCCACGTAAAAGTCTCCATTTGTGTTTGTAAATAAATAAAAATCCACAAAATTTCAAGATGTGTAGAATAACGGTTCAAATTGTCCACGAATAAGATTTAAATACTAGGCCTAGCTAGGTGAGCTTAACCAGAACAAACACCGCATAGGTCTCTGAGGCATAACGGACAAAAGAGGTCAAAATCCACATCGGGTTGTTAAATTTAGAACAAGAATGTATTTATAGCAACAAAATTTATTTTAATGGGAGGTTCTCTGCGCAAGATTACTTTCGTAAACTATGTTGTGCAGAAGCGTTTGGTTGAATCACATTCGCGAGAACACATCAAGTCGTATTCTCTAAGCATTTTTTTATCTTAGTTTTGCTGATCGTCACAATCGAGTGCGCCCACTGTGGAAAATACAGCTTCGTGCACATTGATTTAAAAATCGAGTCCGTCCCCATTGTGACCTTGTTCCGCTTTGATATGCTGAGACAACTCTACATGACCCCAAGCAGATGAAAAACGTTTATTTATACAAGTCTTGGCGAGTGGTATTAAGAGTTTCAGTATATACACAGGTAGTTTGGATTAATTATTAATGGCTTTCAAACACCGGCTTCTTAGAATTCTACGAACTCTCGGTAAACACACACACTCGATCTCATTCATCGACATAACTCGTAGCGCCGCTGAGCCAACAACACGGAAAAGATAGGCAAATATATTATTGTAGGAAGGTGTTGGACAATAATTCATGATGCGGATTATATCTGCGACATGTGAAAGCTCGTCGCTTTTGATATGTACATTTACGTGGACTGTAAGGTAATGTACATGGACTGTGCATTTCTCGACGAGCAGTGAAATAAAAATGGATCGCAGCGGGCACCTGCCATAGAACATTCGGAAGGAAGTGTTTACGGTACATTTTCTGGAATTCTAGATAAAAATGGCAAGTAACGGGAATACAAAGAGAGGGGATAACCTCTATCTTACCACCATGGACACAATTGACCCCAAAACTGTTTGTGTTGATCTAGATGGAGAGGAAAATGTACTGAATGATTCTGACAAACAGACATGTGTCAAGTGGCCTATTCTCTTTGAGAGAGCTTCAGGTAGCTGGTGGAATCCAAAATTTGACTCACCCATTTTAGAACGAGAACAGTGGGAGAAGTCATTTCCCCAGACGCGGCGAAGATTTCGTGCAATCTTGTGCATCATTTTAGTGTCTTGCCTAGCTTGGAGTGTTTTCTTTGGAATAAGACAGGATGTACTTTGGTTGGAATTTCTGATAGGAAGTGTGGTTTTCCTGTGTCTAATAGCATTAATTCTAGGCTTCACATTTACCAAATTCTACAAAAGATTTTATCTACTGACCTCTATATTGCTGTCAGTTTTGTTGTGTGGAGGGATTCTAGCCCAGTTTTTATACAGTAACTCGCTGGTTTCTACTGTAGGGACTTTTGCAGCCTCAATTGAAGTCTTATTTATGATGTACACTGTGATACCAATGCCATTGTTTATGTCCATTGGACTTGGAGTCACACATTCCATATTTTATGAAGTGTTAGTTGCAGTTAGAAATGATTATATGCAGCAACCAATAATCATAATTGGGAAGGCACTTTTGCACTTGTGTGTCCATGTTATGGGTATCCATATCTTCATAATGTCTCAAGTTGGTCAGAGGAGTACATTCTGGAAAATTGGCCAGTCTGTGCTAGCCCAGAGAGAGTTAAAAAATGAAAAGAGAATAAAAGAGAAAATGATCCACTCTCTTATGCCTCCATCAGTAGCTCAGGAGGTAATGGCATCGCGGCAAGACAAAGAACAAAATCCAGATGAGGACTCAAGATCCAAAAAGCGTAATTCAAGGTCCAAAAATGTCAAAGGTGAAATTATATTTCGTCCCTTTAACATGAATACCATGGATAATGTTAGTATACTGTTTGCAGACATTGTAGGCTTTACCAAAATGAGCTCAAACAAAACTGCAGCACACTTAGTAGGTTTGCTGAATGACTTATTTGGTAGATTTGATACTCTGTGCACTAATTCTGGGTGTGAAAAAATCAGCACACTTGGAGACTGTTATTACTGTGTGTCGGGGTGCCCCCAGGCTAGGGAGGACCATGCTAAGTGTTGTGTGGATATGGGGCTAGGTATGATCATCGCCATCAAGGAGTTTGATAGAGACAACAATGAATCTGTGAATATGAGAGTGGGTGTCCACACGGGCACTGTGCTCTGTGGTATTGTTGGTAGACAGCGATTCAAATTTGATGTGTGGTCCAATGATGTAACTTTAGCCAATACTATGGAGTCCAGTGGTTTGCCTGGAAAAGTCCACATTTCAGAAGCCTCACTGAGTTTTCTCAACAAAGATGATTATGATGTCGAGGAAGGACCAGATGTACAAGGTTAGTATTTTACAATACATTACAAAGAAAACTAAATTAGATACCTAGTGAATATTCTATTCCATCAGTATGAATGTGCAGAAAACTGAAATTGGTTGATTGGGATTGCTTTTGTCTGAGTGTCTGTCTGTAGAGATTCATTCTTATAATTTACATCACATTATACATGCAATGTGTAATATGATCACAGCAAGCTTCAAATATTACCATCAAGACTCACCTAAGTACAATTACATAAGTGCATGTATTCATTATGTATAGTGTTATATACTGTAAATAAAGCACACTGATTTGTGTTGTGTGTTTAAATATGATGGAGTTTCCATTTGAAAATCAATTATCATTGTCATCTGCTGCAGTGATGATATTTTGTTGTATGTTTGTGATTGAATATTTTAATTTTCTGTCATCACCCTTGTTTAGAGGATAGCAGTAATGATGAAGTATTTCATATGAAAGTATTAATTTAATATGAATATTAAGTATGCAGCACAACTAAAAATCTTAAAAAGTACTCAATTCTACAACAATAATTAGTAATTTTGCACTGCTGGGTCAAGATAAAATTCTGATAAATTGCTTTTGAAAGACAGCCCATCTAAATTCCAGTTTGAAGTGACTTGGCCTCTCGGAAACACGGGGTAACTCTATAATTATGTATTTGTATATTTGTAGATAACGAGAAAATGGATTAAATAACATTGTGGACCAAAGGTCAATGTTAACCCAACTATTCCTATATTTAAATAATCTTTAAGAGATATTCATTAAGTTTGTGAATTTACTGAGTTGAATTTAAGAGCAAGTTTACATATATTGGGTTTCTTAATAGTCGCAAAGTGTTTCATATCTCAGTGACATTTATAACAAAGAATACAAAGCTAAATGATTTATCATATTCTTAGACAAGTTCCTGGCTGTTAAAATGAAATAATCTCCCACACTTAGCACTGCTTAGGCATGTAGTTGATTTGTAAGATTATGTTCCAGTGCTTCAAGGTATCATTTTGGATAGAAAATCTTGGCTTTAAATTTGAACTTTTTTTAAATGCACATTGTTTTGATTGTACAGGCACTAAGGTTCATAAATATGTATACACATATAGATAAATATCAAATTTTAAATCATGTCTTTTGTACACATATTTGTATCTTGGAAATAACACTATTTAACATGTTGTGTTTAACATCTTTGACTTTGAAATGCAAAGTTAAAAAAAAAAAATTGGTTTAATTCTTTCTTGTTTTTACTCAGTTTGAGATCTTGTAAATGCTACCACGATTTTAATAACATTCTGGATAAAGCTTTCCTGTATTTTATAAGTTAAATAGATTTGTCAGGTGAGCCGTGTAGGACTTGAGTAGATTGATTAATTTGGCAGTCTTGATGGATGTGTAATTTAACACTTTCATTGAACTTGACTCTGAAACATCCATTATTACTGTTCAATTCATTGAACAGATGCATGTCAGCAGGGACAGGACTGTTTCTGGAGCGGTGGTCTGTCCATTGATGGTCACAGCTTGTGGGGAAAATAGATTTTGTTAGTACATCTATTGATGCAAGAACTTCATGGATACAAAAGAAATAAATTGTATACTGGTATATGTTAGGCCTTGTCAGTCATGGCAGCTCCCTTATCATGCTTATTCTCGGAACATTTCTTGTAAAGCTTACTGTGAGGCAGTAGTAATTAGAAAATGAATTTGAACAAAAATAGTGCATGTTTTCATTTGAAATGCTTAGATAAATTTTGTTTCAAAAAGCAATCCTGAGCTATTAATTAACTGTGGCAGTGATCATCAATATTCACCAAAATCACTGAAAATAAAAGAAAGTTTAAAAATCTGAGGGATTACGGTTGAGAAAATATTTATTTGTGGCATTGCACTTTGTCTTTGATGATGGCATTAATAAGGAGAATAAGACAGGTAGAGCTTTCTGTATGCCTGTAGACAACAAAAGATTTCAGGTTAACAAGTAATGTATATTGATTTAAAATGTTAGCCAGAGTTACCCATGAAAACCATTGATTCTCAGTTAGTGTAATTTCCCATGTACGACTGGATCTAAATTCACATTTCTCATGAATATTGGTGATCATGGTGATTGAGCACTAAGAAGAGAAATTCTGCAGCAGCTTAGAAGACAGTCAATAAAATTTAACATTTTCTGAAAAGGGTTAACATGTATTTGCATGATGGCAGTCTGGTGTTAGGGAAAAAAACAGGTCTTATTTTGAAATATTTATGTCCTAATTCCATAATGAAAAAAATGGTCTCATTTTAAAGGTGCATAGACACAGATTTGAAGTTTATATTTTCTCAAATTTTCTGTATAATATCACAACTTATATGTTGCTATAGAATTTCACAGGAAAATAAAATTAAAAACTTATTTAATCTGGAAATTATTGAAACTACGAATTTCGGGAAGCGTTTGATTAACACATCCTTGCACTTTCACAATTTTGTTGTGTATTAATGAATAATATTACATCTATGATCCAGAAAATTCAGAGTAAAAATGTGCGAAAGCAAAACCCACTCACTTAAGTATTGTCAGCCCGTGCTCAGTGTTGTGTAGTTGGTACAGAGTTTAACAAATTGAATACACCCGTGAAACGTAAACTGTTTTTTTAAACAGGGCACGAGCTCTGTTGTTGTTAATGTTTAGGTTTCACGGGTGTGTTCAATTGTTAAACTCTGCACAAACCATTGAGCACGGACTGACAATACTGGTGAGAGGATTTTGCTTTCTACATTTCTACTCTGAAATTTCTGCATTACAGTTTTAATATTTTTCATTAATGAACAACAAAATAGCTACTTTTCTTAAGTAATAAGGATAAAGTTAAAATTTGTGAAAGTGCAAGGATGTGTCTATCAAACGCATCCAGAAAATTGAAGTTTCAATAACTTCCAGATAAAATAAGATTTTTATCAAATTTTCATATGAAATGCTATAGCAACATATAAGTCATGAAATTATACAGAAAATTTGAGTAAATATTAACTTCAAATCTGTGTCTAAGCACCTTTAAGGTGTGCCGGGAAAGAAATTCAATTGAATTAAAGAATAGCAAACTATATTTGGTAGTACTATACTGTTTTCATAGGAAGGTTGCATAAATATAATTGTATATTTTCTACATTTCATTTTGTCAAATTTTTGTGAATCTTTGCAGTTCATTTTGAAAAAAATAAAAACAAAACATAAAAAAGAGACAGATTTTTTTTTTTAGAATATTTCAATTTTGTACATGTTGTATGGATATATTAAAAAAAAAATGCAAAAATTGGATGTTACCTCGAAGCATCATATCACAGAAATTTCCTGCAACAGAAATTGAAAAGGTAATTATGATATTCTAGAACAAAGTTTTTGTTTCATCTTGCTAAAATAATATTTACTGGAAAAAATGCCATGGAGGTAATTTATTGAGGAACCAGAATGAAGTTCAGACATTACTTATAACTGCTTATTCAGTTGGCATTTCTCTGTTCAACAATGTTGATTTATAAATCTGCAGGGAAGTCGTGAACCCTGCTATCCTAGACATGTAAGAGTCAGCAGAGTGTTAGATCCAATAGAGATGGAGTGGAAACTCTAGCTAATGAGTATACTCCATGTGGGACAAATGAAATACTAACCTTAATGAAAGGCTCATAAAAACTGCTTCCATAAATTACAAACAGTTAATTAAAAGTACCAACATGGAATGAATCATTGGAATTTGGAGACAAGCTATAGGTAGTCTTTCCAGTGCGGGGCAGGAAAATGGGGCCATTTAATATGAATTATTTAACACCAGGTAATTTTATTTACCATGTTTACCATAGGGTATCCACAATTATGCTTTGTTTTGCTGTTTCAGTTATTGTAAGTTGGTAAGAAGTTTATACATGTATGTGATAATTTTGGTGGGTATACCTCTGGAATGAAACACTGCATTATATAGATTTACAAGTACATTGCTTTGTGTTTGTAATACATGGAATCTAATGGAAACAGACCAGATATCACAGATATGGATCGTGACCGGTAATTAGACTGATCTCTATATTATAGTGACCGGTAATTAGACTGATCTCTATATTGGTAATTAGACTGATCTCTATATTATAGTGACCAGTAATTAGACTGATCTCTATATTGGTAATTAGACTGATCTTTATATTATAGTGACCAGTAATTAGACTGATCTCTATATTGGTAATTAGACTGATCTCTATATTATAGTGACCGGTAATTAGACTGATCTCTATATTATAGTGACTGGTAATTAATTCATACTACTTGTTCAATGTAGGCAAAAATTCATGGAACCTGTTAATCATTAATGGTTTCTGTTTTGGAATATAGGAAATGCTTATTTTTGCAGAGCTAGTGTGTTTAGTAATTAGAGTATGCGGTACATTACCAGGATATCAATTATCAGTGAACTTTTCATCCTTTCTAACAACCACAACAAGTAATTTAACAATCTATTGTTCATACAGGTTTAAGATACTCTTAAAATATTTAGATTAATTATATGTTGGTAAAATTTGAAAGTTCATATCCGGCTTTTTAAAGTCTTAATTAAAAGAACTTATTAAAGGGGCATGAACCTACCAAATAATACTCAGATTATATACAAACAATACAGACTTTCTGAGGAATAAACACAAATATTAAAATCTTGATGCATTCAAGGAATTTGTTTATGAATAACATTTTATCAGCATGATTGACAAGTGCCCAGATAGCGAAATGGGAGAAATATCCTCTATTCATGTCAAGTAATTTCATTTTAAATTGGACGTTAAACAAATCTTTTGGTGGCACTTGAATTGCTTTAAATAGCAACACTTATTCATTCAAATATTGATTTGTTAAGAAGTGTACATAAAAATAAGTCTTTATGGAAATGTGTGTAGCTTCCGTGTATGCTTATATTCAAACCATCCACATCCCCCCTCCCAAAAATAAATAGTTTAAATACAAATAAAAATTA